CAGGTAGCTATAATGAGCCATATCTTTTAGTTTACTTTGTTTAAGCCTAGGATTTGTATATGTACCATGAAAAGAACAATAGTTTTATACTGTGGAACTGTATTATTACACGTAAACATGAGGAAAAACAACAATGGATCACAGGAGCGATGGGCTGACTTAATCAACATTCAGAGATGAAATGCAAGACTTCTGCTGAAGAAGAATGGCTGACATTGTTTAAAGGAACCATTTTGTACACCTGAATTTCTTGCTAATATTAGTAGTGAGTCCAGTGATGAGTCCAGTAGTATTGAAGCCTCTAGCGAAGGTGTCACTTCAATCTCTGCCTCTCCAAATGATGCTGTGGTTGCTAATGACAATTATGAATACACCTGACTAATAATTATTACTTTTATTTACTGCAATTTTTAAATAATAATAGTTTATAATAAAATTTGTCTCATAATTATATTCATTGTGGGCAAGTTATTATAAACAAACACTTATGTGACAATTAACAGCCACTTTCATATGACAGCTACTCGTGCATTTATAATGAGCTGAACAAAGTCAGTGTGGTCCTACTATAGTTTATCAATCATTACTTAAGGCAATGTTTACTGCTGGCACTCCTCATCCATCCTTAGACCTTAGCCACAGTGGAGAAATTCCTATTCTGAGACCAGAGTTGCATTAATATGCATTTTATGTATTTTTAATGACTACTGAAATGTAATTATTATAATTTTCTTGCTATTAAAATGCAACATAAAGCTGTTTACAACAAAGGGTCATGTCTATTGAGTTTGTTTATCAATGATAACAGGATTAACAGCAACACTGAGAGAAGGAGTATAACAGATAAAGTGGAGAAGATGTTGTGCCAACATAATTACTGAGTATCTGTTGTATTGATGGTAAGTGTATCTGTTCGGAGCATATATAATAATAAAAACATGATTTTAGAATGTGGCAATTAACAGCGGAAGACCACAGCTTAAACAATGTGAGAATGAAGGATTGAACACTGACTTGATATACAGGAGTACAGACACAATTTGAAAAACCTAAGCCTTTCTATTCATGCCTGCAAGTGGTGAGTTTGGTTGATGAATAGATGATGATGATCCCCGCATCATTATTTACTCGGAGATGCTGCTAAACCTCTACTAATAAATCTGTGACTGCTCACAACAATGAGGAAGACATCTAGCTAGTTTTAAATTAATTTACTATAATTAATTTTTAGTTTATTAATAATTATAATGCTATTTGAGACAATTTTAGTTTTTTTAATGGTATTTTTAATGATATTCATAGTTTGTAGCTGCTTGACATGTACGTGACCACAATTAGTCTGGCGCCGCGAGACTAACCACCAATTAAGACAGCTTTATCTTATCTATGCTTTTATAATAACAGTGGAAAACCCTTGTACTTATACCGGCATTGCCCTATTCAATTCAGGCATTGCCTGCCCGGCCCCTGCCCAACAGCAACACTGAAAGAAGGAGAATAACGAGATAAAGTGGAGAAGATGTTGTATCATATAATGATTATAATATTACTGAGTATCTGTTGTATTGATGGTAAGTGTATCTACCAGTAATGGATAGATATGATTATCCTAATGCTATAGGTAGTGAAGGATCTATTGATATTAATAAAAGATTGAGAGGTAATATAAATATAATAATTACTATTATTAATTGAATACATTAGGAGTACCAATGACTGATACTAGTGAAGGGAACAAGTTCTGTTTCTCTTTCCTTGATAGTGTAGGATCTGGAAGTGGAGATAGGAGTGCTACGAAAAACCCTTGGAATATACATTGGTACCCAGGAGT